CTGCCCTGCAGGGCAGAGTGCAGAGTAGCCAAAAGAGAATAGATGGGGGGCAGACAGGCGGGGGGGGAGAGTTGAAGCGCCCCTGCAGTCGTAAGTATGGGCAGGCTGCCAAGTGCCCAAATGTTTAACTAAATGTGACCGTGTGGAAGCTACAATGGCCACAACTTTGGGCAAGGGTTGTAAGTCCCTTCATTCAGTGCCGTCATACCTTTGAACTGTCACTGAACAAATGGTTGTAAGTCGAAAACCACCCGTACTGCATCTGACTGCTTTCATGATATACTGTAATGCAATTCTATGCATAAGATATTTGTAAGATATTGCTGTGTATCAGTTGTAATAGATGTTAGCAGCAACAGCTTTAACTACGTGCAACTCAGCTTTTATGTACCTGGTTCAGGAATGGCAGATGCTGTCATAAATGGGCATCTCAACAAAGCCTAGATATTTCTAAGGCAGTCAAAGGTGATGGGGTGCTTTCTTACCATCTGTAACTCTGTGAAGGCTTCTTCACAACACTCACAGTAGCCCTTCTGTGTTTTGGGCATGACAGAGCAGACAGAGAGAGTTTGTGGTTCATTGGGTGACTCTCTGGTTTTGGGTTCTCTGCAGAAAAATGATGGGAAGGGATACATGAAGAACTTCCATTCCCCATCACATAAATCCAAGTCTCTACTTTACTTTCATTCATTACAACTTACGACCCAACCTCACATTTTCTTTTTTCTGTGCACAACCTTTGGACCTCACCTAGGTCCAAAGCTGCCTTCTGAATATGAAGATAGGGAGCCCCGCCACCTATCAGAGTTTCTAAATTTTTCCCTTTGAGCACATAGTGAGAAAAAACACTGCTAGAGGTAGAATTCCTTGCCAGCCTAGTTTCTGTAACTACACATGAAGTTTGGGTTGTGTCTACTGCCAAATCTTTCCTAAACAGCTTCATTGCCTTCCCCAATTCCCACAAGTATACTTACTTTGAGCTGGGTTCAAATGGGCTACACCTTCTCGATCCTAGGAAATATAACTGAGGAAAATTCTTGAACAGTTTAAAAAATGGTCGGAGTTGCCTAGATAAAGATGAGAAAAATGGTTCAATCTTGGGGAGATAAATAGCAGCAGCCTTTGAAGAGACAATTTTCCCCAACAATAGTAATTTCCATATGTGTTGGACTTCAACTCCCAGCCAGAATACAGGACTTCCAGTTGGAAAAATGGGATGGTGAAAAGTACCAGAGGATAGTCAGGAAATGCACTATCATGTTAAAATTTTTGAATGCCTTAGTGGCTTACAATACCCTGTAAAGGTGTAGTCATTTATTTTATCCTTGTTTTAAAATAAATTTATAAACAACAAAAAACACTGAAAATGGTATTCTTCTGCACGAGCTATCTAAGCTACAAATTAAACATTCTATGTAATAATTTTTACATTCTTATTTGGATGGTAATTCCAGAAGGTAGACTAAGAAATCGCTGTTTGAAGCCCTATTATTTATATTATAGGCTCACCTTTGTCACCCATGCTCTATGAAAATGTATACAAGATTTATACAAACCAGTTAGTGAGATCAACTAGAGTGAGGAATCATCAATATCCAGGGCACAGCCAACTCGAATTTGCTTTTCAGCTAATTTAGGTGAGACAGTGAAGGGCTAAATTGGTTTCTGGCTACATGAATGAGCTGGATGAAGTCAAAATGACTGGGACTCACTCTAGTCAAGTTGAAGATTCTTTAGAAGTGTGGTTTATCTGTCCAAATGACTATGACTGCTCTGTTTTGGCTGGCCATCAGTTATGACCATATTTCTGGAAATACATGTTAGGATTAGTTATCCAAACTCCAGGAATCTCTAGTTCAAATTGCTGTACATAATGCATTATATGCAGGACTGCCTTCAATAAAATATCAAAAACTGTGGTTAAATAAAAATATAGCAGCAGAATTACTACAGGTAACAGGGATGGGTTTTTATGATCATGTTACACTGAAGCTTCATCAACTCAGTGATTCCTTATCTGTCTCAAGGGGCAGTTTTTGGCACTTAAGGTTCTTCATAGGTGTCTGCCCCAACTCTTAAGGTTACTTTAAAAAAATATTCCACAAGATTCCCACACCTTCAAATATCTGAAGGACCCATTAGACAAAACAAGAAGCAGGGTGAAAATTTCTATAACTTGTCAATAAATAAAAGCTCCAAAACCAATTGTAGTGCCAGAATGATTGTCATTAAAGAGAACTATGCTTTTAATCACAGGAGGAGATAACCATAATTATCTCAAAATAAGAGATGAAAGGAGTGGAGAACTTCAGCCTGTGAGCCAGATGTGGCCCATTAACCACCCCACATCCAGCCTGCTGAGACCTGGAAAGAACCCTTCCCCACCCCCATCACAGGAAAAAAACTCCACCCCTCATAACCATTTTGCTTTGTGCCCTTCTAGGCTTGGAGAAAAAGGGGTAGGCATTAGTTCTGAGAAATGAGGTTTCAGAGAGGAGCAAGAGGCCTCTTCCAAGCCTCAAGAGGTCAGATGGGAAATCTTAGACTGCTCTTGGATCATAGGGCACTCTACCTGCAATCCATGCATTCCCTAAAAGTGGAAGAACTTGCGTGTTAGGGTGGCCCAAAGTCTTGTGTATTCAACATTAAAAAGCCAGAAGATGAGACTCTACTATACTCCCCTTACCTGCTATGGTCTTCAATTTTCACAAATGGTGGTTTCAGCCTCACTGAAAGAAACAAAACATGGAGAGTGAAAAGGGAAAAACAACTTTTGACAGCTATCAAAATATCAGAAACAACATAGATATAAATGTCCAGTTTTGGATTAGAAGAAAGATTAAAGGAAACCATAAAATCTGAACTCTAGCACTTCTCTTTAAAGTTAAATACTGGGCTGTCTCAGACTGGGGCTAGGGGAATTACTGTTAAAGCAGCCAACTCTGGAAGAAACAGCTGAGCAAGCTAGTGCAGGTGACTGTTACTTAAACATTGTGCAACAAGACGATTATTATATTAAAACAACAGTCTGCCTCATGAGCAGGCACAGTGCCAACACTAAGCCAATACAGCATTGTTAGTGAGTGGGACACTGTCCAGGGCTGGCAGCCACGATAGCACATCTCCAGAGAACAGGAGATGGGCCTGGGCTTTGTTGGCCATAGAATGAAAATCCATCAGCAGATTCAGATATCAAGAAACATTAAAAAATTTCCCAGAAGAGACAGCCAAGTATGGTAAGGAGGAAGCTAGATTGTCAAAGCCAATGCTAAAATTTCCAATAGAGAAAACAAAGGCAGTAAAAATTCCAGATTCTCATTGGCATTAAAAGAGGACTTGAAAACATGGAGTCCCACATGAATCAACTATGGTAAATCTATTCTGCATTTATTCTGGTAAGAGGTTCTGCAATCATTCTTCCTGCTTGTAGCGATCAAACAAATCTTCTCTAAGTTTTTTGGTTATTATAACCAAATTGAATTGGTCTTTTCAGCCTCATCTACCCATCTTTCTTGCTCTGGTGCGAAGATAAACTGCTGTTTGTTCAGGACATGTTGTCACTATAGAGTCACCATTTCACTACCAGCCAGCCACCATGACAGGCTGAAGCCAGATCTGGCAAAATGATCTGGCTGGAGTGATGTTTTCCATTGGAAAAGGCAATACGATTGCCTGGACAAACATTCTGGTTGGCAGAGGGGAGGAGCCTGGTGAGGACTTGCAATCTCTATGGTTCCAACTGGCCTGCTCCTGGAGTAGCCGCTCCCATCAGCTATGGGGCTCTGTGCCTCCTCAGCCATTTCTGTTTTGGGTGCTGGAAAGAACAGAACCTCCCCGGCAACCAGTCTTTTTTTTTTGGAATATCAACTTCCTGGAAGGTATTTCTTAAGGTTGATATTCTTCCCAGCAACCCCCACCCCACGCTTGGTTTTTCTCTTTTCCAGCAGCTGTGGAGGCTTGCTAGAGAAAAAAAAAACATGGCACAGTATTTCACCTTTCCAGCAAATATGGAGAAAAAGTAGGTGGCTTTTTTTATTCCAGGAGGCACAAAACTTTGTTGGAGAGGAGAAAAACTAGGGAGTCAATGATTCTTCACCCTTCCTCCTTCCCTCACCTCTGTGTTTCCTCCCACCCTCATCTGAGGCTACCAACTTTGCTGGCCTCATTTTGGAGGCAGTGGTCTTCTGAAGCAGCGTGCTTTCCTCCCATCTCAAAAACAGGAAGAAAGCACGTTGCTGGGAGAGTGGGGGAAAGCCTTGATTTTGTATGAAATTGCTTCCTTCTGAGGCCTCCTCTCACTTTTCTCATTTAAGCACAGAGTCCACAAGGTATATCAAGATGTGCAATCAAGCCACAGTGTAAACTCAGAATCTCTGCCAGGTTGTAAGCAAAAGGTGACAAACCAGATTTATGTATCTAGCATCTCTAAACAAACAAAACTTTCTCTACTCACTTTTTGAAAGTTGGAATCCAGAAGCAAGTACTTTCTCCTAAACCAAGAAAACAATACTAAGATAGGGCAGGATTCTAAACCTGCAGCTAGCATTTAAAAAAATGCAAACCATACATAAAATATGCATATTTGATTATTGTGAGCCATCCAGAGTTATTGAGAGTCAGGTGGCATACAATTTAATAAATTATTTTTGGTCACACAGCCAGATGTTTAGACTGGATTTGGCATTTTTATCCACCTATCGAGCCTTTCGCAAGGACCTGGGATAGGCAGATGTTGTTTGATGGAGTTAAAAGTATCGTCGCAGGATGTAAGCTGTTCCAAGTAAAGCTGCCTTTTGCAATGGACTGATGGTGATTTTTGTCAATGCCGATGGTGTTCAAATGATGCTCCAGATGTTTCAGGATTGCACCTAAGGCGCCTATAACTACTGGTACTATCTTTG